TTTATCCCTTTGGGGTAGAATTAATCAAAATCCTTTCTTTCTTCTTCTTTTTTAGCGGATGCCTACGTCATAACATCTACCTGCATGCCAAATTTCAGCCAGGGCTGTGCATTGATAGATCACTACGTCAGTCACCTTTGAGTTATATATATATTTAGATATAAATAAATCCATATTATTACATACACCTTTTATATCTTTTAAATTACGCCACTGATTTTAATGCAGTTTTCAGCAATAGATAGAGAAATTCAAGAGGAAGTTTTATATTTGTAATACATGCTTGTTATAATATAGAACAAGCCGAGAAATTCAAAGATTTATAACGCATCCGTGCAAAGTCGGGTCGTTTCCCTAGTATATATATATATATAAATTTAATCCCGTAATAATATTACAAATTCGAATGTCTCTCTGTTTGTTTTAAAAATTTAACAAACATATAAGCATATGTTTGTTAAATTTTTAAAACAAACGACCGAACAGATTTTAATGAAAAACGTAAAAATACATTGTATCGGAAGTACGGACATCGGTTATCTATTATTTGCGGCCACGGTGGTCTAGCAGTTTAGAACGCCGCTTTCCAATAGTCGCGGGTTCGATTCCTCGAGCTGTACAAACATTTTGAATTCATGAGTATAATTGTCTGTATTGATCTAGGTGTTATCTATGTATATTATGTATGTACTTAAAAAAAAATTTATGTATTTATATGTCAGTTGTCTACCCATAACACAAGCTCTGCTTAACTTGGGACTAGATGACGCTGTGTGAATGTTCCTGTGATATTATTATTAAGAAATTGAAGTACTAATCTTATTAATATTATAAATAAGAAAGTTTGTGCGTATGGATGGATGTTTGTTACTCTTTTACGCAAAAACTACTGAACGAATTTTGATGAAACTACATTAATATAGCTTATACATCAGAATAACATAGGGTATAAATTTCACGCAGCTAAAACCGCGGGCACAGTATCGCTATAATAATACAGGGGTTGATCGTAACAGGGTGAAAATTTGATATATTACTTTAAAAAAAGGCAGATGAAATCGCAGGTAAAAACTAGTTCTATATGTCGTTAAGCTTGAAGGCCGAAGCAGGTTGAAGACGCAGTCACATTTGCGATTCAATGAGCCTGTCTGTCGTGGACAGGGCAATTGCCATCGCAATTGATATGACTCCATCATATTGTTAACTGGGCTGACACTGATGTCAGCCCAGTTAACAATATGATGGAGCCCCATGTCGTCAGCGACATGGGGCTTCATTTGAATATTATATAGGGTGGGAAAAGCATACTGAAGTTATATGTACAAGATCATATTTTTTTAAGGAAATATTATTTTTAGAAATAGTGGAATGGTGTGGAACATTCTTTATTCAAATATGTTGTGTATTGTTTATTAAATATTCTGTCATTCATTTTTAATCTATGGTATCTGTACAGTGGCAGATAGATTTTTCTTATTTATCTGTGTTTTGTTATACACTACTCTGTGCGGTTTTGGTTTTGAATTCGTACGTTGAAATCATTTGTTCGTTTTTGTGTTACTGTAATAAAGTATTTCGTATGTGATTTTAAAGTTTTATTCAAGATAAATAACAATGTAAGATTAAATTGAAGCGCTTTTTTTGTCTAACGTCTTTCATTTGGAAAGCTGTCTCATTACAAGAAGAATGAGTTAGTAATTTGCATGTTGCTTTTTAATAATGTTAATTATTTTAACATCGAAAAGGCACCTTCGGGGCTCCATCATTTACCACTCAAAAAATCATATCAATCAAGGTCGAGTTTTTAAGAATAAAAGAGCTTCGCTCAACATGTGACCTGGTGGGTACATACACAGCTGTGACAAACCTAGTTCATTCAAGATACGACCTAGTGCTTACGTAATCGCACTTAATATGGATTATAGAGAACGCAACAAATAATGCACACAGAAATTCTCAATCGAACCAGTCCTAACCGAATAAGCTTAAGTCGCTATTTATTATTAAACTATTAAAATTGACTGGAAGATATTGCTTCTTGCAATAAGACCGCCTTTTGTACATCTATATCTCCTTTCTATATAATTCTTGTGTGAACTTCTTGGTGCAATAAAAAGATTTTAAATAAATAAATTCACACAATACATCACATAATTATTTCTATAATGATAGTTGTTGCTATTATAGAAATATATTAAACTAGCTGTACACGCGACTTCGTCCGGGTGGAACTTAACTTTATTTTTCTAAAATAAAAGTAGCCTAAGTTACTCCTTATTAACATCAGCTACCTGCCAATAAAATTCCCGTCAAAATCGGTCCAACCATTTCAGAGATTAGCCGGAACAAACAGACAGACAGACAAAAATTTAAATAAATGTAATTTTGATATATATTCCGTATTTATATTCATATGCATGTAGTAAAGAACGGTTATTTCAATATTACAAACAGACACTCCAATTTTATTTATATGTATAGGTACGATGAGACTGACGTGCCAAGATTAGACAAAAGAATAAAAAAAAAAGTTATAATATATACTCTATATCCGAATAATGATTACTCTATCCGAATTAGTTGCACCTTATATATATCCGAACACAAATTATTTATATTACAAATATAGGTAGATACGATGGGACTGACGTGGCAAGAATGGAAAGCTCTTTAATCATTAAAGAAATAAAAAACGTGACAATATGTCTATATCCGAATAATGATTACTCTAGCTGAATTAGACTACACCACATATATATACATATATATCCGAACACTAACGCAATTCATCAGGTTAGATAAGATACCCAATAAGAAAGGCTAATAAATCGGAGCATTATCACGGAGTTTAGTTTAGGGGTGACAAACCATCCCCTCGTGTGTGCCCCTTCGATGTCTATTATGCCGCTATTCCATTGTTAGGAGGGCTCTTCACCCCACGACGTGAGATCCACAAAGGGTTCGAGACCATGGTACTAATAAAAGTAATAAAACGATCTCCTCGCACGCTAGGGATGCGAACAAATGATAGATTATGGAAAAGATCGATTACTATTATTTCATAATAATCGATTTTAATATTACAATGAACCGATTAATTATTAATCGATTTTCTTTCGCCTCCTTTATTTTTCAAGATCAAGTGGTGACCTAAAAAAACAAGAACACGCACAAACTAAGCATCGATTATGTAAAGTATAATCGATAGTTTTCATTCAACAATTTTACAGAAACAATCGATTAATCGTTTTACAAATAATTTATGCAGAGTGTCACACCCCTACAGCACAGATTGTATTTAGGATTGAAACGTAACCGTGGGGTGACAACGTCTATGTGTTGTTAATTTTTTAAGCAGCAACATAAATGTTCTTATTATGAATGTGGACTTGTTTGTCTGTATATCAAAGTATTCATTGTAATGTTACCATTTATTTGACTACATACCAGTACTACGCAGATAATAATTTAACATTAATTTTAGTTACAATTTATGAATTCTTGTTATTTTTTAGTTTATATTCAGAGTATAAATGTGTATAACATGTGTTATTATTAACATTTCACTGGATCTGGATTCCGAAAAGGAACTATGATTAAAAAAATATTATTCAAGTGTTTTTGTAACAAAAAAATAAATAGTTGCAACAAAAAAAAATACTACAGATGAGTACCTATCTCCTCCGAAATTATACTCGATTTAATTTTCAGTATTATTAAAAGGAAAAAAAAAATGAAATAGAATTTATTAAATATATAAAAAATAATATTTCATTACACACTATTAAACCACAGACAAATACTTAAATGGTAAACTATATCAATAAATGAAGTAGGAAAAAAAATTTTGTTTATATCCTTTACAATTATTTCCTATCATATTTATTTAATTGAGGTCAGGAACACGTATAATTATAAACATTATGGAATGCAATAATGATATTGAATACTTCAGATCCTAGAGGATAATTTACAGTAATTACGACATATCCCTAGAAAGGGTTTATGACCCTAGTGGCGCCGACGTAAATTATAAAACAATTCGTAACAACTCTATAGGTAGATGCTATAACTCTATAGATAGATTGTTAGTAAATTATATTATCTGTGGTAATGTGTACTAATAAACCCATTTCTAGCCATGTACCACGTCAGGTTGACCACCACGTGGTTTCCATATATACCGTTGTTATAAATTCTTGGTGAATTTAGCAGGATGGAATAACTGACCTGACATCATGTTCGTGTTATCATCCTCCACTGGTGCCCCGCCAGCGTAAACTGTTAGCGCAGGCGGGTGCACCATTCCATTATTATCCATAAGAGAAATCTTATGAATATTATAAATGCAAAAGTTTGTATGTATGGATGGATGTTTGTTACTCTTTCACGCAAAAACTGCTGAACGGATTTTGATGAAACTTTACAGTAACATAACTTATACAATAACACGTAGGCTATAATTTAAAAATATATTATGTAAATTCGGCGATACATAATAATATGTATAATGCAGACGAAGTCGCACGGGTCAGCTAGTATAAAATAATATATATGTCTTATATATCAGAATAATTATATTATGATACTTAAACAAATCTTTCTTGTTACAAAAGTATTTTGTATTATTATAAAACTACGATTCTCTGCAAAAGGTTTTCATTTATATTTGAAAACGGTTACGTGTAAACAAGCAAATTACAAATCTAAAAACATTAATTAGTAATCCGCGAATGCGAGATGTTGAATTTAAAATCCAGATGCGGAATATCTCATGAACTATATACTGTTATAATGTAAACACGCGAGAAAAACATGGTATACGCAAACTGTATGTACAAATAAACAAAAAGTTTTACAACTGCAATATCGGTTTCACGGTCAACGATATCCAGAGGGATTTATCCCGGCACTTACCAAAAGCGCGGCCTCCAGAGAGCGCCCTTATAGGGCCACAATATAAACACTGAACAATTGATTAATAAAAAAATATCCTTTACCTATTAGTGACGTTGTTTCATTGTTCTCTTAATTGCGATGTCGCTCGGTATCGGCTACAGATGGCGGGAATGAAAACACGGACGTTACGCACCGTTGGCAGTTCGCACGCGACTGCCTTGCTCGCTTTTGCCTCTGGCGGGAGGAGGCAGATCATATTATTTGCCCTTAACAAAATCAACTGGCAGTTTCGCGTCCCCAATTACCCATTTTCCGCGAGTTTCTTGGTATTTTCATATACTATATTACGATGTGCTTGTTACTTATTACTTACACATTATTGTTTTTTATAATTTTACATAACATTTATGATCATCCGAGAAACATTAAATTAAACAGCATATAAGTACTGTTATAGCCTCATATAAAGTGTCGGAGGTCCAGTGGGTCAACACCGCTTACTTCCGATGGCTGCGGGTTCGATTCCTCGCACGCTATAAACATTGGTATCCATTAGTCTGTTTATTTTTTGTTTGTATCAGTACAAAAAAATGTATTTAATAATAATAATAATAATCTCAGAATAATTCACACAGCGCTATCTAGTCCCAAGTTAAGCTATCTAAAGCTTGTGTTACGGGTAGTAGATAACTGATACAAATACGTAGATTTTTTTTTTTTCGTAAATACATACATATTATACATAGAAAACACCCAGATTTGTATCGGACAAACAATCATACTCATGAATACAAATGTTTGTGCCGTGCGAGGAATCGAACCCGCGTCCATCGGATGTAAAGCGTTGTGTTGGACCGCTAGACCACCGAGGTCGTCGAATTTAAATTGGTATTTATATTAGTTCTCTAGTACCCATAACACTAGCTCGGCTTAACTTGAGACTAGATGGCGTTGTGTGAATTGTCGAAGGATATTATTATATACCAAGAGTCTGGTGTATTTGCACCCGAATTCATAGAAGTGACTATTTCAGGTACCTACACAACACAGGCGACTCAACACTATATTAGTCGAGACTTTTTATAATACACTAGCTTTTGCCCGCGGCTTCGCTCGCCTTAATTTATCCCCTTAAGGGCGGAATTTATCAAAATCCTTTCTTAGGGGATGCCTACGTCATAGTAGTTTTATGCATGCAAAGTCTCAGTCCGATCAGTTTAAAATTGACAAAGGTTCATACAAACTGTCATCCCCTTTTGGATCCCTTTGCGGGTAGAATTTATCAAAATCCTTTCTTAGCGGAAGCCTACGTCACAACATCTACCTGCATGTCAAATTTCAGCCCGATCCAGTGGTTTGGGCTGTGCGTTGATAGATCACTATGTCAGCCACCTTTGAGTTATATATATATTACTCTTGATATGCGGTTTTGCATTCAATTAGCCACTTATATGAACAGTGTTATATAATGTACAGGAATGTATTTAATATTCTTAATTTGAATTTAAATTTAATGTTCTATTTATTGTAAATTTTATTTATTCCTCAATGTCTTCACAATCGTTCATAATATATCTCCGTATTCCTAGTACTCAAGTATGAATATAACACCATCATGGTTTTCTAACAATATTTTAGTTTTTATGTATATGAAGATTCGAAATTTGAAATTTAAAAATATTAATTAAGATTCAAGATTCTTTATTTGTAAAATATGCAGTATGCATGATTACATAAAGAGATTTTATACACACAGAACGTATTTGTATAACATGTTTAGACTAGATGGCATACAAAATACTTAAATGCTACAAAAATTATTAAATATAATTGCGAATCATAATAATAAAATGTCGTAACAATATAAAAACATAATAATAGAAAATTTCGCCAAATTATATCATTTAAAATATAAATAATCTTTATTTAAATAAACTCATTACAAGCACTTTTGAATAGTCATATTTTGATTGTACCATTCATTCGGAATGCAGATTCATTACAAGAAGAATGAGCAAGAAACTTGTGTGTTGCTCTTTTGAATATGTTTTTTTATATAAGTTTGAAAACATAATATGTCGTGTTAAGAATTCATTGTCATTTTATAAAATTACTCATTATAAACACTAGTGAACAAGAAAGTGATATTATTTTTTGGGCCCGTTATTCATCTAGACTTTTTCTTCTGTTTTCTTTTTACTTACACATATAAAAATGAAACTACAACTAACAGCATTTACCTCACGAGACTAGGAAGAATTTTCACTATTAATTACCTGTAAATTATAAATTTTAAGTTTTAATCTTAAAATATTTAAACATTATCATCATCTGCTCCTTCCTTATCCTATTTATTTGGGGTCGGAGTAATATGTTTTACTCTTGCATTCCTGTTCGCAGTCATCTCATTATTTACTATCTTACTTACTATATCATGTTACGCACAGTCCATTCATCTACGAGGCTTCTTATACAAATACAAATTTTGATTGTTCAGTATGAAATTCTTGAAAAAAAATTAAACGAGATTTTCACCTAGTAAAATCAGTAAAATTATTGATTTATGTTCAAGGTTGGAGAGAGCCAAATTGAACTAGTATACATGATTTTTTCTGATTTATTATTTCTTCGTACATGAGTAAATATTTTAAATGTTGGCAACCCTGTTTAAGACTCAGAAGAAATTTAAAGAAGAAATTTTAGTTAAGAGATGTATCAGACTTTTGAGTCAACATATGCAACTTTCTTTTCACCTTATTTATCTGAACTGCTAGTAACATAAGAAATACAATTGCACTACAATGCATTACATTAACACTTTAAGAAAAAGACAAAGGAAGCACATGACAAAGAATCAACGGTGCAAGCAAATGAACTAAAGAGGCAGTTCCGGCGGCGAATCCTACAATCTCTCACATGATCTACGCGAATTAAACAAAAGTGACACGAGAAGCATTCTATCTAAATAGATAGATAGGGAATTCATTTATTAAATAACATACAGGGTTGGCAATAGGAGCTGCCTCAGCTGTTGCTGATATAAGCACACAAAGTTGACAATAGGAGCTGCCTCAGCTGTTGCTGATATAAGCACACAAAGTTGACAATAGGAGCTGCCTCAGCTGTTGCTGATATAAGCACACAAAGTTGACAATAGGAGCTGCCTCAGCTGTTGCTGATATAAGCACACAAAGTTGACAATAGGAGCTGCCTCAGCTGTTGCTGATATAAGCACACAAAGTTGACAATAGGAGCTGCCTCAGCTGTTGCTGATATAAGCACACAAAGTTGACAATAGGAGCTGCCTCAGCTGTTGCTGATATAAGCACACAAAGTTGACAATAGGAGCTGCCTCAGCTGTTGCTGATATAAGCACACAAAGTTGACAATAGGAGCTGCCTCAGCTGTTGCTGATATAAGCACACAAAGTTGACAATAGGAGCTGCCTCAGCTGTTGCTGATATAAGCACACAAAGTTGACAATAGGAGCTGCCTCAGCTGTTGCTGATATAAGCACACAAAGTTGACAATAGGAGCTGCCTCAGCTGTTGCTGATATAAGCACACAAAGTTGACAATAGGAGTTGTAATATTGTTATAACAAACTTCGGCACAAACTAACTACTAAAACAGAAACAAAATTACCGCACAGAGTACAACTGATAGTAATCATAGATTATCGCGCAGACTAAGCGTAGAGGCAGCCTGCGCGTTCGTGGAATACGTTTTTTTTTATTTAATATTTTGCGGCTCTGGATACCAGTCCTTTTTAGCCCAGAGGCCGTGGGGTTGCCAGGTGCTAAAAGGAATACCCCATTTTCCGAAGAAAGGCTTCACGTATTCATATTACGATTTAATTAGTAGGTATATTGAAATAGACCTGCAGGATATGTAGAGAATTTAAATCACTCCATATGTCCTGCAGTTCTACATTTGGTGGCCAATCCCAATATCGATAAGAAATATTGGTACTGTACATATATTTCAACATTATAAAACTGTTCGAAACTATCTAATCAAATCAAATCAAAAATAATTTATTCGTACATTTTAGTAGCTTATCAAAGTCAATTTTTTTGTATAATTTTTTTTCAATATTACTGGATAAGAATTAGTTTTTAGAGTCATATGTAGTAGGTCCTTGTTTATATTATATATTATAATAATTAAACGTATATGTGTCCAGTACCTAATACCTAGTACATAACACAAGCTCTGCTTACTAAGATATAGATAAAAATTCTTATCTATACATGTTAGAAAAAGAAATAAACCTGCACCGTTTAGTAGACGATTACCTAAATCCTGGCGGTGGTAATTGAATTAAAGTGGAGTTAATACAGTTACCACTGGCGTTAACTAGATTACTTCATCTTGTGCTCTCAGATTAGTCTGCTAAATATACAACGTCATATAAAATCCTTAGGTACTAATATAATAAATGTGAAAGTAGGGAGAGTTTCTTACGCTTTCACGCAAAAACTACTGAACCGATCATCATGAAATTTTGTACACATGTTCTTGGAGGTATTAGAATGAACATAAGATTCTTTTTACTTAAAAAAACAAATATTTTTTACAAAAAACTAAAAGCTGCGGATAAAATCTAGTATTAAATAATACACTGATCGTTGTTACTCTATTAGGCCGGGTAGCGCTAGCACTGCTAAATATGGTACAGAGCATGATTAATACGTTTGTTAACACTGGTGACCGTGACGATGATGGATTCGTCATGATAAAGAAGAAGAGGTACACGAAGAGGACCACTTGGAACCATTGTGACACTGCACTCACTGGGCCCAACTTCCAGTTGCTACACCGACCACGGTAATGTACCTGTCCCGCATACACAACGCCACCAAGGAGCAGGACATTGTCGACTACATACCGACCAGGACTAACCTGACATTGAGGGTGACGCAGCTGGAGTCATTTGCGCAGTTTCAAGGCGCCTGTGGCTGGGTCCCACCAACCCAACACCAACAACACCAACATAATGCCAACCTTCATGAAAATGGACTACTGGCCGAAGGTGGTGTAACGGCGCTACCATAGCAAATTGCCGTCGTCAGTGCCGTGCCACACAGAGAATTCATATTTAACTAGCTGTCCCGGCAAACGTTGTTTTACCTTAAAATAAAAAAAAAATTAGGTGTGGACTACCCCTAACATTTAGGGGGATGAAAAATAGATG